TTGTGATGGTCTGGGTTATGGAACCCTCTCACCTAGTCTTTAGTATTTGCAGTGCGAATTATGGTTTCTCTGTTAGGTGGCCCCCATGTCCTCTCAATCCCTCTGCCGAAGGAGAGATGCCACTGACAGCACTACGATCCACCTGCTTGCAGGATTGACTGTCCTGCTTTTCAGTGATTACTAGCCTTTCCAAAAGTTTAAAAATGACAGTTTTAAGTGCAAATTTCAGTATTTAGGCTACATACAAGTGCAATATGGAATTAGCAATGTGATTTAAGGTAGAAACATATTTCTTATTTTATTTTTGATATAGTAAGTAGTTCAGGGAGAGGACTCAGGAGGGCAAGAAATTAGAATGGGCAAGCAGAGGTACATGAAATTTACTCTCACAGTGACACTGACAGCAGCCAGTGGTGATGACACCTCACCAACATGACACATCCACTCCTGAGTCACAGTGACATTGTCTCTCCATGCCAGGTTGTCCCTTCAGTCCACTCCAGTCCAAACAGCACTGACAGTCCCACTCCTGGTTTGTCTTGCTTCCATTCCACAGACCCACACACAAAGCACCGGCTGCTCCGCTCAGCTCCCCTGCACATGACATCACACGACATGCTCAGGCACTGCCTCCATCAGACCTGCCTCCACCGGCGCCGCCTGAATACACTGTTGCATGGATGGTCTCAGCCAGCCTCGGATTGGAACTGTACATGCACACTTCCAAGCCAAGCGCCACAGCCATAATTTTGACTGGCAACCTTTTACTGTCACTGGTATTTACTGGCAAGAGAGAAGTGAACATTTTTTAATGGCTGCCAGTAAAAATATTGGTGGTTGGTAACACTGGTTCTCAGCCTTCCACCATCTATCTCCTTCCTGGAAAGTTCATGGGCTTCTGAATATATAGGCTCCCGCCCCTATAAGTACATCTGTTTCCTCCTGGTTTGAGTACAGAAGTCCTGCTATCAGTTTACAAGTTCAGCCATGCATTTCTTTGCTTCCTTAATGTTGCTTGCTGCATTTTTGGTGCAGTAAAAAAAAAGGCACCAGAAAAGCACCTCCCCATTGAAATGCATGGAAAACACGGCAATAACTAATCAGAAACGAACCAGCATTGCATTTTTATGTGGTTTTTAAGTCACATCCTGTAAAGCGCATTGCAAATATGGTAAAAATGTGGCAAAAACGCATATGCATTTTTAGCACGTTTTTGCTATGGATCAGTATGGAAGTAGCCCTACAAAGTCAGTCTGCGGCCACTGCCACTGAAATACCACTCATCAGCTCTGTATTGGTAGGCATTTGTGAAAATGTATGAAACATCTATGAAAAGTAACATCTTATTTTATATTGTGTTCTCTCAAAATCTAACTTTAGGGCCTTGAATTTTGACAATCATTTTAGATTTGGTCAGTATGTAAGAGAAAGTTTGGACAGCCTCTGTGTTATAAATTTGGTTTGTGGTGAAAGTGTACTGAGGCTAGGTTCACATCTGTGTGTGGGTAGTGCCGCTGCGGATCCGCACGAAAATCTGTGTAGCTGCACCACCCGCAGAGAGAAATGCGGACCCGCAGGCAGGTGCCATTAGTTCTAATGGCACGTCGCCCGCACTGGAAAACGCAACCGTATTGGGAACCGAGGTTCCCATGCAGGTTGCGTTTTCGGAAGAAGTGCAAGGACTTCTTCTCTGCGCGTGTCACGGATGAATGGGCTCTCATGCCCATGCGGACCCGCAGGCAGGTGCAATTAGTTCTAATGGCACGTCGCCCGCACTGGAAAACGCAACCGTATTGGGAACCGAGGTTCCCATGCAGGTTGCGTTTTCGGAAGAAGTGCAAGGACTTCTTCTCTGCGTGTCACGGATGAATGGGCTCTCATGCCCATGCACGGCCGCATATATGTGAACTGGGTCTTAATGTACAGAAGCATAGATAAAACAGAGATGTTGCCTATAACATCCAATTAAAGTCTAGCATTTTAAAGGGCAACCAATAAGATAATTGCTTTTTTAACCCTGCAAAATAATAGCCAAGATTTGATTGGATTCAAAGGACATTATAACATTTTCGCTATGAGTAATAATTGGGAGATAATGACATACTGTATCCTGTACAAATACACCTGCAAGAAAACAAAGAGAAACATGTTCACAATGTCTCTCTGTTAGTTTTATATATCTCAGGTTCATCATATAAAGTTAATTACAGATGGAAAGCACACAGTATAACCAGATAACTGTGGAGCCTTAATATTCTGCAAGACTAGATGACAAACCTTTCACCACGCTGTAGATACAAATGAACGTCTTTTTCCAACTGAATCATGATATGAAACATCAAAGCTGAATAATAATACAAAGATACTGATTCTGTTCCGAGGGATAATGGACTGCGTGCCAAGCTTTGTTTTTCTTTCAGTGTGGCTCAGCACCAAGAAAAAAAGCTTTGTAAAATTACCTCAATGTGTGGGCTTCTGGATTCTTGCAATGAACTGTGATGCTTCTCTCTATTCATTTCAAGAAACAGAGCTTGAAGGTGAACTCCGGACACAGAAATGAATTCAGTGAATTATGTGTAATAGATGGGCCTTAAAGCTGAACTCCATATATATATACTGTATGTATATATATATATATATATATAAAATATACTGTATATATATATATATATATATATATATATATAAAAAATATACTATATATATAGTATACTATATCTATCTATACAATATATATATATGTATATGAACTGTTCTATTTGCCAGTGGATTGTAATTCAGCTCAGTGTTATGATCCAGCCTTCCCTTCCAGATAGTAAGCTGCAGATTTATTTCAGCCTAATTTAAAAATTGCGTTTCTCAAAGTTTAAAATGTTTTTATCTATACAAACTGTATATGTGGGGCAGTCATATTTGCTTAACAATGAGGCAGCTAGCATTTGCAGAATGAGAAGTCATCCAGGATTGTGCACATACCCTGCAAAAACTGAAAACAGAAAAAGACCAAGTGGTCCATTGAGTCTGCCCTTTTAAAAAAATGTTTTTTTTTTACTCTTTTTTTTTTTTTTTAACGAGGATAGACCCAAGCTAAGTTTATATTTGCAGCAGGCCTTGCCACTTCTTTGAAAGCAATCCAGCATTGATGGCTTTTCAGAGGAGTTTAACAGGCAGCTTGGAGGTGATATATAATTTAACCCTGTATATGCTGTTTTAAATGCTGAAACACCATGCCACAACCATTAAACGTTGTTGCAGGGCGGTTGCAGCATGGCCACATTCACTTGAAGCAAAGCATCGCATATGCAGTGGACACCCTGCTGTGAAGCCGCAAGCTGTCACATCTGGGTGCCCACAGTTAACAAAATCACATATATATATATATATATATATATATATATGTGTGATTTTGCATTTCCGGGTAGGGGGCGCTCACCCGAACCGCGTTGCCATTTGCGGCCGTGGCTGTCAATCACCAGGTCCCGGCCAACGATTACCCACCGACACCCTGTGATTGCTGAGCATCTCTGACGGGGAGGAGAACTACTATTTGTAAACAAAACAGTTCTCCTCCTTGTCAGCTCGTGCACACTGCTTAGCACTGATCACTGTATTGGTGTCACTGGGGGATGTCATTGACACCAAGTCAGTTTCCAGTGTCAGAATGCCCCCCGCAATCCAGTATATACAACGCCATTTGTAGACACTATAACTTTCACGTAAACCAATCAATTTACACATATTGGGATTTTTATTACCAAAGACATGTAGCAGAATACATTTTGGCCTAAATTTATGACAAAAATTAGATTTTTAAATTTTCTTTACTGGACATGTTTAACAGCAAAAAGTCAAAAATATTTTTTTTTCTCAAAATTGTCGGTCTTTTTTTGTTTATAGCGCAAAAATAAAAAAATGCAGAGGCAATCACATACCACCAAAAGAAAGCTCCTTGCGAGAAAAAAAGGACATAAATTTCATTTGGGTGCAGCGTTGCATGACCGCGCAATTGTAAGTTAAAGTAACACAGAGCTGTATCGCAAAAAAGTGGCCTGGTCAGGAAGGGTATAAATCCTCTGGAGGGCAAGTGGTTAAATTCTTTTTTTTTAAATGGCGCTGAACCCCTATGCTTTTTGATCTCTTTCATGTTGTTCAGGTAGATCTTCACCTTTCAAAGGTTGCCTACTTCTGCCATAAAATAACTTGTGCTTATATGGTATCTTTTTGCTTGGAAAAGCTAGCTGGTTACAGTTTTTATCATACCACTACTGTGCTTGCGAAACCCATCACTGAATTTACACTTTTGTGGAATATTTTGTATATAATTGTTTTTCCTATTTTTTGCTGCCAAGTGCATTCTGAAGAATTGGGGTTCAAAGTCTAAGCTATACCTCTAACCAAAAACCTTGAGGTGGATACTTTCCCAAATAGAGTTTTAGGGTGGTTTCTGTGGTCTTGCCTCTCCTGAGCCACTGTTAATCCAGTTCGGTGCCAAGATACTGACATGCCAGTTATCAACCATTGAGAGTCAGAACTTGCTTCCTTGTTTCTGGGCCTGTCATGTTCTAACCAAGTGATTAAAACATGCTTCAGTCATGGTGTTCTCATGTATAGGAGTGGTAGTAGTACCATATTTTATAGCATTATTACCTACTTATCCATATACATAAGAAACTGAAAGAAACAACTAAAAAACAATTACTGTATTTGTCAGCGTATAAGTTAAAACATAGGTTTTGGGCTATACTTGCCATATAAGACTACCCCCTTCTGAGGCAACACCATTTAAAAACATCAGATTTGATTTAAATTATTTTAATTAAAATGGTTATGACTTACCGGTCCTTTAAATCCTTCAAAAATCCTCATCATGTTCATCCTCTGACATCATAAATTCATCAATGACATCTTGTGATACATTACAACTTTCAGTTTGAAACTGGCTTCATATTTCCTTCTTCTTGCTGGAGGAATTATGGGGTCTTGTCTACCAACCATTTTGTTTAACCACTTCCCGTCCGGCCACTGTTTATAAACAGCCGGATGGTGGCAGTCCAGGGGCGGGTTGCCGTTCATAAACGGCGTCCGCATTTTCAAGCTGTGCGCGCTCCCTCCAGACACAGTGGAACACCGGTCGTCGGACGGGACCTCTGTGTGAGGTCCCAATCATGTGATCACCGATTGGCTAATCAGTGATCACATGCAGAGTAGTAAGCAAGATGTCACTTCTGACATCATTGCTTACTACGTGTGAAATCTGTGAATGATCACAGAGGTCACATGGTACAAGGCTATTCACAACAGCCTTGTACCATGTGACAAGCTGTGACCAATCACAGCTCACACAGTATTTATCAATGGCTGCAAGAATGCAGCCAGAGAGAAGGAGAAATGATTGCTTTTACATCCTTTATGGGTGTAAAAGCAATCAGTGTAAAAAAAAAAGAAAAATCTACATCACCCCCCCACAAGTAGTACAGTGTCACCATGGTGACACTGTACTGCTAGGATGACAGTAAGAAAAAAAAAAAACATAAATAATAATATAAAAAATATAAAATAAAAATTTAACAGAAAATGTTTTTTTAAATTATAATTTTTGGTTATAAACTAATTTGGGTTATTTTTTTTTTTTACTAAAAAGATAACTTTATAAACTTTGGCCAAGATTTATGATGAAATATTATTTATTTGCAAAATTTTAGAAAGAAAGAAAAACACTTTTTTTCAAAATTTTTGGACTTTTTCATTTATATAGCAAAAAAAATAAAAATCCCAGTGGTGAATAAATACCACCAAAATAAAGCTTTATCTGTCTCAAAAAATGCTAAAAAATTCATATGGGTACAGTGTTGCATGACTGCGCAATTGTCATTCAAAGTGTGATAGCGCTGAAAGCTAAAAATTGGCCTGGACAGGAAGGGGGTAAAAGTGTCCGGACTTGAAGTGGTTAAATACACCCACTAATCTGTCAGCCCGCTAGATGTGCGGTAATACTGTATGTACGGTAGCTTTGGCTACATACAGTATACCGCGCTGAGCCAATCACGGCGAGCGATCTATTCTATTAATGAATACAAAGCCTGCTCGGATTGGCTGAGTCAGAGAGGCGGGCTGAAGATGTCACAACCTCTGCCAATCCGAGCAGGCTTTGTATTTATTAATAAAATACATCGCTCGCCATGATTGGCTCAGCGTGGTATACTGTATGTAGCCAAAGCTACCGTACACAGTATTACCACACATCCAGCGGGCTGACAGATAAGGGACGTTAGTTTTGAGCCATCTTGGCCCAAACAAACTAAAGGTTCACATTGTATACCCCGCGTATAAGATGACTTCCGATTTTTGGGGTATGTTTTTAAGTATAAAAAGTCATCTTATACACCGGCAAATACGGTACTAATATTTTTCTTTTTTTTTCTCTTTAATTACATTGACATGTGGTGCCGTTTAACCAATTTTTCAAGCTCTGCATTATTTGAATTAAACTAACTCCTTCTGATCTTGTACATTGGTTTTCTGGACTAGCTTTAACTCACCTGTTGTCTTTCAATAAAATGCTTGTGCTAGAGTTATTTAAGCTACTTCACTCTGCAGGTGCTGTATATATTACAAATCCGAATAATGTCATTCTCATTGATCAGGAAACCATTCCCTCCAAATGCTAAACTTTCCCCACATTTGGTGTTTTTCACACAACATATGTGTTTCAAGCACAGCCATAAACCTTTTAATAGAAAGCATCACCTTTTCCAATGAAAGGTTTGCTGGTGGTTGTTTCATTACCACTTGACCATAAATAGAAGTCGCTCGATGTTTAGGGCCAAAACCTGCATACTATGAGAAAGGATTGTAACAGATTTCTTTTTATTAGGCTCATATCATTTGTTCAATATACCTTCTTCCTTCTATCTTTGGCAAGAGGAACTGTAAAAAAAAAGCTATTCAAAATGTAGCAGAGCAAAAAAAAACACAAAATAATTTCTCTTATGAAAGTAAGAATTTGATTTACAAAGAGACTGGCTAAATAGAGTGAGGTGCCCCACCTGTGAAGCCATTGCATGAAATATAATCCATGAATGTACTAAAGCTGATACAAGGTACATTACCATTAGATAACTTAAAGTTACCCCAACATTTCATCTTCCTGATATGTGTCTATGTTACCATGTACTTATATGAAAAAGTATCCTGTTCTCTTTCCATTGCTTCCTTTGTGTACAATATCTGGTGATTCTGTCAGTCCCTCTGCTTTCCTATTTCAAACTGACCACACTAGGCATGGAAACAAATGTTCCATGGTCAGTTTTGTTCTATGCATTCTACTTGGAAAAACAGCCTGCCTGCTCTCCAGTGGTTTGACTTCTACTGACACCCCCCTGCACAGCTCTTCACTGCGAATATCAGTGTGCCTCTGTTTCTCTGCCTCCTGCTGACACGCCCCCTCATGCACAACTCTTCAGTGGGAAGATCAGTGTGCCGCTGTTTCTCTGCCTCCTGCTGACACGCCCCCTCATGCACAGCTCTTCAGTGGGAAGATCAGTGGTGTGCCGCTGTTTCTCTGCCTCCTGCTGACAATTCCCCTCATGTACAGCTCTTCATGGAAGATCAGTGTGCCTCTGTTTTCTCTGCCTCATGGTGACACGCCCTCTCATGTACAGCTCTTCAGTGGGAAGATCGGTGTGCGCGCTGTTTCTCTGCCTTCTGCTGCCCCCTCATGCACAGCTCTTCAGTGGGAAATCGGTGTGCAGATGTTTCTCTGCCTCCTGCTGACAAACCCCCCTGCATGGCCTTTCACTGGGATGGACAACTCATAGTTGAGTGATAAAGTATTGTGCACCACAGTACTACATATTTATTCCTATTATTGCCATAGCTGCCATTAAATCTAGATAATCCCCTTCAATTAAAGGAAGTAGACAGGCCTAAAGTGGGGATAAGTACAGTAGGTTTTTGTGTTTGCAAGTAGAACGCATAGAGAAAAACTGACCATGAATGATTTATTTCTATGCGTGGTCAGGACAAAGTGGGAGTTGGGACATACTATCCAGAGGTAGGGCATGTCTGCCTTTTCTATCTCAAAGTGTCCATGCTAAAAAGCCACAGCATGAGCAGGAGGTACCTGCCAAAACTTTTCTCTTCGCAACTGCTGCTATTGCACCCTATTATTCCTTCTTCTCTTCTGCTAATCCCACTACAGCCCCATAAACAGGCAATCAGAGATGAGCAAAAAGTACCTGTGTTCAGTTTGAGGCAGGTTCGGCAAACGTTACTAAATACATGCCGAATGTTAAAGGAGAAGTATGGCCAAAAGCTTTCTTGGCGCTACTTCTCCGATGGATCAAAGGAGTGCAGTTTGTTTTGCACTCCTGTGACCCATTTTCAGCTAAAGCCCGCTGACAGCTGATGTCACTCAGCCAATCTAGGTTCTAGAAAGATCCCAACTTTAAAGTCAGGATCTACCCAGATGTCTGGACTGGCAGCTGTATCAGCCTCTCAGCTTGCCACCCCCTCCAGACCTCGGCACTCCACTGACTTACAGTCACTGGCTCTCTGTAGATTGAATACCGAGAACTGAGTGATCAGCCTTTTTTGATAACTCAGTTCACGGGGAATAGTCGGTGGGGGACAGCTGCAGCTGGGATCAGTGCTGCAGCCATCTAGGTGAATATTGTGTTTATTTTTTTTATCTATTCCCTAACTTCTCTTTTAATGACCATTTTCAAGGGTTAATAGGCAAGGTATTGTTAAACAAATAACATGGGGGTCTGGGCACTGCACTATGGAATATGTACCAAAGCAAAAGGAAAATAATTAAAAAAATTCTGTAATTGTGGGGAGCAGTGGTTTTAATAATGTTTAAAAATCAACAATAAAATACAGAATTAGTACATAGTTGTCGTTTGGAACAACAAGACCTAGAGTGTTAAGAAATGTATGCGTGTTCATTCTTCCAGGTAAAAGACCTGCTGTGTCAGTAGGGATGAGACCTGTGAAAGTTGGTGGCAAAGAAAATCCATTTTTAATAGCGGCTCCTTCAGAAGTAGCGCTCCATTAGTGTAATAAAATGCCAGCTTTGTGTCTAAGGTTTCTCTCTCTTCAAGTTATATTAAAAAAAAAAAAAGACTGATCTCTGACTAGATCTATGACAAGAAATGTGACATTTGAGAGATATAAGCTCATGTCATTAGTGTATGAGCACTTGGTATTTTTTTTTTTTAAGTCATAAAAACAGGAATGAAAACTGAAAGACAAAAATGTTTTCAATACAGTTTACAACCTCTTTGCTCTGTATTTAAACAGAGTATGCCATGAAAAACCAAAAAATAAACATCTGTAGGTATAAAATGAACCATTCACATACTTGCAGCAGCCTTGAATTCCTGGCTATGCTGAGAGGCAAAGCTTTGACACTTCCTGATGGTGCTACAACTTGTTCTTCCTGTCCCAAGAATATTATTATTGGCCAGTGATCGCCAATAAGGATCTGCGGGGGGGGGGGGGGGGGGACTAAGTGACAATGTCAGAATGGCCCAACACTCAGAATAAAGGGTTGCAGATTGTCCCTCTAAGTCAAAATACAAACTGGGGCCCCAGTCACGGGGTGCGGAGCTTGTGGTTTCCACTAGGAATTGCTCCCTGTGAGGAAGCCCCCTTGGGGTTGCTGTTGCTCTGTGCGCTTTCTTGTGGCGCACCTCTGTGGTTTTGGTCCACATGAAGTCCATTTATGGCCTTTGGATATTTCTGTGGAAGTGGATTGGGTCTGCGTTAGTTATTTTATAAGTAGATATTGTTTTCTCAAATCATATGTGGCAATGTTTCCCCCTTGTTGAGGGACTTACATTGGTACTATTTGGCACATTATTGTATACAGTATATCCCTTTTTGTCAGACCTCCTATTCCTATACCGGTCCCCACATCTGTCCTGGTGTCCATCATTCAGGATACAGGATTTATACAGTGCCAACAATTTGCTCAGCGCTTTACAATATAACAGGAGAAAATACAGCAACAATACACCTCAATACAAGAGGGTTAGCTCCTTGGAGCTTACAATCTAAGAGGGAGGGGCTAGTGGTACAAAATGTAATAACTGTGGGGAATGGACTGGTAGGAGGAAGAGAATATTTCTCTATTAGCTGAAGGCAGGATAGGCTTCGCTGAAGAGATAGGTTTTCAGAGATCGCCTAAAAGTGAGAAGAGTAGGCGATTGTCTGATAAATTGGGGCAGAGAGTTCCAGAGGATGGGGGAGGCTCTGGAGAAGTCCTAAAGATGAGCACGGGAGGAGGAGACAAGGGAGCTAGAGAGTAGGAGGTCATGCGAGGAGCGGAGAGTATGGTTTGGG